CTCTCTCACTCTCACAAACACCTACTTTAGCATGGATTAAAATACATTAAAAGGAGGGAAAAAAAGGAGAGGATATGTAACTTGTCTAAAGTCACATAGCAGTAAATGGTGAAGCTGAGATTTGAACCCACACCATTTGGCTCCAGAGTCTATGTTCTTAACCACTTTACTAAGGATAAGAGTGAGACGGGGGGAGGTGGGGACCAGCAGATGGTATAATGGCTATGTTGCTGAACTCCCATGTAGTTGACCACAGTTTGAGTCCTGAACCTGGTGGCTTAAACTCAACGCCAAGCATGTGCATGTGCTTGCATGCCCAGGATCTCGAGAGGAGAAGGGAGGAGAAGGGATTGCAGTGTGGCCATCCCCCCTAGCGGATGAGGAGGAGAAGGGATTGTGGTGTGGCCATCCCCCCTGGGGGTACTTTGTCAATTTCTGTATCTCTCTCTCTTTCTGGCGAGCACACGCACCCTATAGCAAAAACCTCTCCAAAAAAAAAAAAAAAAGAGTGAGATTAGGGGTGAGTGAGGGTGAGTGATGGGGTAAAGGTAAAAAATAGGGAGAAAAAGGGGCAAGAGTAGGGTCTCTAAGGATGAGAGAAGGCAGCAGGGCACAGGGTCAGACAACCTGGGAGGAGACCGCGGCCTCACTCCTCACTGCCTGCAAATCTCCAAGACATAGCTTCTTGTCTGTCCCGTGGGGTTAATAATCACTCTCGCCCCGTGAGAGGTAACAGGTCATGTGCTTAGCACAGTGCCAAAGGTAAAACCAGCCTTGAGAGCTGGCATGGAGTTCTGCGCCCCAAGCCAGACAGTCGGAATCCCAGTTTGGTCTTGTCTGTGTGACCTGGGGAATCCCTTCACCTCTCTGAAGCTCAGTTTCTTTATCTACAAAACAAGATAGTGTTTCACGCTGTCCAGGTGGCCCCAGCACAACCACCCTTAAGGCCACGCCATTCCTCTTAGCACACCGGGCACCACGTGGTCATAATCCCAGCTCTGCCACTTGAGAGCTCTGTGGCCCTGGGCTCCTTTTCTCTGAGCCTGTTTTCTCAACTGTAATATGAGGAGAATAGCTCTTACTTCCTGGTTCTGCTGAGACTTAAATGAGTCGCTGGTTGCCCAGAACCAGGGGTATTCTCGGGATGCACTTTCAGAGCCACAACCGGAAGTCCCACACAAACCAGACCAAGCTGGCTAACCCAAGCTGAGCCTCTGTTTCCTCCTCTATAAACTTTTTTGTTGTTCATTGCTAGAGGGCACAAGAGCTTGCCAGAGAGAGACAGAGAGACAAAAGAGAGAGAAAGCACCCCACAATGGAGTACGGCTGTGCTGCAATCCCTTCTCCATTTCTCCATCCTGTTGGGATTGAAGGCATGCACCCATCATGTTTTTGAAGCCCTTGGGACCAAGATTTCAAACCACAGTTGGCCATGTGAGATCTGGCTCCTTTAACCACTAGCTGTGGAGCTCAGCTACTTCTATCAACTCTTCAGAGTTAACCAAATTCCTTGCCACTTTGTCTCCCCACCAGAATATTAGCTCCAGGAGGACAAGGACTTTGGTCTCCTCCACTCCTCTAGGGCAGGTTTTGCCACATCGTAAGTGCTTTGGTGTTTTTTACTATGGTGAGTGCTTTTTTTTTTTTTTTTTTGGAGAAGTTTTTGCTGCAGGGTGCAAGTGCTCACCAGAAAGACAGAGAGAGACAGAGAGACAGAAAGCGAGAAATCACCGCCCCCCCCGGGGTGGGGGGTGGCCGCACCACAATCCCTTCTCCTCCATTCTCCTCTCGCGGGATCTGGGGCACGCATGAACAGGCACCCAGTGTGAGTTTAAGCCACCGGATCTGGGACTCAAACTGCGGTTGACTACATGGGAATCCAGTGATGTAGCCATTACGCCAACTGCTGGTCCCTATGGTGGGCGTTTTACTCCATCTTGATAAAGACTCTGGAACCTCCAGGGACACATGGCACCTCCTGGTGTCAGCACCAAGTGTCCAGCAACGCAGAATGTGTATGCCTCTTACCACGCCTGTCAATGGCTACTTCCCTCATTCATCTGAAAATTCTTTGATCTATTCAGGTTCAATAACAAAATTTTAAAAAATAATCTTTTTTGGGGGTAGTAGGTGACATGGTGGTTAAAGTGCTGGACTCCCACATGGCTGACCCCAATTTGAGTCCCGGACCTGGTGGCTTCCTTTCTCCCTTTCTCTCTGTCTCTCTCCAGTGAGCACATGTGCCCTATAGCAAATTAAAAAGTAAGAATAATAAATACAACAAAATAAATAATTCTTAAATGATTATCTTCATCTATGTATTGTTTATGTGTGCTTGCTAGAGAGAGACAGAGAGAGGAAAAGTGAGCAATCACCCCCAGGGGGATGACTACACTGCAATCCCTTCTCCTCCATTCTCTTTTCAGGGTTTTTGGGCACACACACAGGCACCCAGAATGATTTTCAAACCACTGGGTCCGAGACTCAAACTGAGATCAGCTATGTGGAAATCCAGAGCCTTAACCACCCTGCCACTTGCTGGCCCAAACAGAAATAACTTTTAAAAGCAAAAATAGAATTGAAAGTAAACCTTTTTTATTCATTTCTTCTATGAGGGGTGGGGGTGGGGGGGAGATAGCATCCCCGACAAGGTTTTGCTACTCCAATTCACCCTCAGCCTCAGGCTCCCCTGGATCATGGGCACACACATGCCCCAGGCACTCAAGCAGGTCTCCAGACTTGAACTGGGAACTTCCCCATGCGGGATCGCCTGGCAGACAATTGCATTTTTATGATTGTGCCATGATCTGGTCCCCTGTTCTGAACCTGCTTTGTACCTAGGAGTCTATCCCCTTGAGCCTTAAAGTACTCCCCAGACTCAGCACCCCCCACACTCAGCACTCCCCAGACTCGGCACTCCCCAGACTCAGGGCTGAGCTTTGTCTGTGATCAGGCTCTGTCCCCTGGGGTGCTCATCCTTCCTGGTAGAGGGCTCCTCACTCACCTGAACGGCTCCATGGAAGAGGTTGTAGCCCGAGATCAGAGCCAGGCCCATTTTTTCAGCATTGGGAGAATGGATATGGCTCAGGAGATAGTCAAACGTCTGCTGGTTCCAGTGCCTGGAAGAGTCACCCAGAGGTTTGGTCACCCAAGGCCCTGAGTTCACAAAACACCTCAGGAGGAAGTGTGCATGTGGCTGTAATTGTGCCACTTGGGTGGGTGTCAGTGTGTGCCCAAGATCTCGGGAGGAGAATGAAGGAGAAGGAATTGCAGTGTGGCCATCCCCTCTGGGGGGGTGATTTCTCACTTTCTCTCTCTCTCTCTCCAGCAAGTGTGTGTGTGTGTGTGTGTGCATATGTGTGTATGTATATATATATATACACACATACATATAGATAGATAGATAGATATACATATACACACACATATATACATATATATATATTATATATATAGAGAGAGAGAGAGGAGAGAGAGTATTTTCTTAGTGTCAGGCCAGATTGGAGCTGCTACAGGGGGGCTTACTCTTGGTGATGGGAACCATGACAGGGCATGCCCTCCACAGGCTCCACAGACACCATGGGCTTTGGGACCCTCACTCACATCTCCTGTGGATTGCTGGGGTCCGAGGTGTAGGGCTGCCAGAGACCAGCAGCCACGTCAGTGGTGGTGAGTGGGGTGAAGCGGTCTGCGTAGACCTTCAGGTCCAGCGGCTGCAGGACTGAGTGGTAGTGCTCATGAATGCAGAGAGCTGTGGACAGCCCAATGACACCCGCTCCGATCACCACCACGCGCATCTTGCTGGCCTGTGGGAGGGAGTGATTGAGGCACATGGTCATCACCATCACCTCCATCATCATCATCACCCTTGCCTCCATCATCCTCGCCTCCATCATCCTCACCACCCTCGCCTCCAATATCCTCACCACCATCACTTCCATCGTCATCACCACCCTCGCCTCCATCATCCTCACCACCCTCGCCTCCGACATCATCATCACCACCTTCGCCTCCATCATCCTCACCACCATCGCTTCCAACATCATCCTCACCACCATCGCCTCCATCATCATCACCACCCTCGCCTCCATCTTCCTCACCACCATCGCCTCCAACATCCTCACCACCCTCACCTCCAACATCCTCACCACCATTGCCTCCATCATCCTCACCACCCTCGCCTCCATCTTCCTCACCACCATCGCCTCCATCGTCATCACCACCCTCGCCTCCAACATCATTGTCACCATCGCCTCCAACATCCTCACCACCATTGCCTCCATCATCCTCACCACCCTCGCCTCCATCTTCCTCACCACCATCGCCTCCATCGTCATCACCACCCTCGCCATCGCAGACACCACCTACGCCTCTTTTATACTTGATCCCCGCCTCAATGGCCCTGGGAGATAGGGATTGTCATTTGTCCCATCTCACAAGTAGAACATTGGGTCAGGAAAAGGCAAAGCCCTTTGCCCGAGGTCGCACAGCTGGTAAGTGTAACAGAGCAGGTTTTTCGGGGGAGCCTCCTGGACACCCTCTTCTAAGGCTGGGAATATAACAGGGTGCCTGGCCAACGGTAGACTGGGGAGTCAAATGGGTAGGCCAGTGGACTCTGGCTTCAAAGCTGCTACCTCAGCTCTGCCACCTGCTGGTCATTAAAACTGGGCCAGATGCTTCATGAACTTCAACTTCTAGCAACTCATGCATACCTCAAAAGATCAATAGGGAGGGGGCCAGCCAGGAGTGGTGGTTAAGGCAGCTGAATCCCACACGGATGAGTGCCTGGTTCGAGTCTTGGACCCAGTGGCTTGAGAAACACACCGAGCATGTGTGTGTCCAAAATCCTGATAGGAGAAAGGAGGAGAAGGGATTACAGTATGACCATCCTCCCTGGGGGGTGATTTCTCACTTTCTCACTCCCTGCCCTATAGCAAACTAAATAAAAGTGTAAAAGTCTAAAAAGAAAAGATCAACATGAGATTTAAGAAGTCAAATGTAAAAACCATAACCAGGGGGAACCAGCAGTTAGCGTAATGGCTATGTCGCTGGACTCCCACGTAGTCGACCGCGGTTCGCGTCTCGGACCCGGTGGCTTAAATCTCACGCCGGGCGCGTGTGCGTGCGTGCCCAAGATCCCGAGAAGAGAATGGAGGAGAAGGGATTGCGGCATGACCATCCCCCCTGGGGGGTGATTTCTTGCTTTCTGTCTCTATGTCTCTGTCTGTCTGGCGAGCGCACGCGCCCTATAGCAAAAAAAAAAAAAAACCTCTCCAAAAAAAAATAAATAACCAGGTGCCTGGTGAAAAGAAGCAGTTTGCTGGGCTGGCAGGTGGTGTGGAGGGTTAAAGAGGTGGGTTTCCATTCCCACATGACCAACCATAGTTCAAGTCCCAGACCTGGCTGCTTGCTTTCACCCTTTCTCTCTCTCTCTAGTCAAATTAAAAAATTTAATTAATTAATGGAAATAAATAATTCTTTTTAAAAAAAAAAATTTTAACGAAGTAATTTTCTGACATTTGAGAAGTTCCTAGTACATATCAGCCCTGGCAATAAATGCTTCATGGTTATTGTTTCATCTAAGTCTCCCCACATTCTTGGGGAGTAGGGGCTGCCGTGAATCCCATTTTACAGATGAGGAAACGGAGCCTCAGAGGAGTGAAGTGACTCTCCTGACGTCACACAGCCAGTAAGTGATGTGGCTGGGGTTTAATTTCAGTTGGAGTAAACTTGACACACATACACTGCACACCTACTGTGTGCCAGGCCAGCTGCTAGCAGACGCAGCTGTGAGCCGCTCAGTTGCAGTGTCTGGCCTCAGAACTGGATCTCCCAGCACAGAACTCCACCTGCTGGGGGTCCCGGGCTGGCTGGGCCCTTGGAAGTTTAGAAAGCCTAGCAGCTTTTGACCTTGAAGCAGCTTGGGCCTGCACAGCAGGGAAACATTCTGCCCTCCTGATGAAGCCGAACAAGGGGGCTGATT